GTGAAGATGACTATGAAGTCACTATTACACTGAATTATGCTCTTGCCACAGACAAGGTCAGTTCAGGGGATGAGGCCTGTTGATTGGCAGCTGGTCTAAAACTGTTGCTAGACTAGTCAGTGTAATGCTGATATATTCCAAATTCAGGTCTAAACAAGAAATTCTTTTGTTCAGAGGGTGTTAACTTATCACTTCAGAGAACAGACTATTTTTCTTTCTTTGTTGGAGCTGGATGAACAGGTATCTCTATCTGATTAAGCCAGACTTTATGGATATGTTGCTATCATCTTGCATTTCATTAGTTTGCTATTAATATTAACATTCATCTTTCAGCTGATGTTGTTTGATGATTCTAGCTCCTCCTAGCTTTTGATCTTAGATCTTGCTTTCCTTTGCCCTGCAAATTGTGCTCTGAAGAATCAAGCTTAGTAATTTTTAATAGTTTGGAGATAACATTTGTCAGAGCTCCCGTTAACTGTGTTGAAAATCTGGAATCCCTATCTCCAGAATTACCATGTTCCAAAAACCACCCACATACTCATTTCCAGCTTCTCAAAGATGAAAATCTACCATTTAAAAAATCCAAAATTCAGACTTTATCTCTTGTGTTGCCTGAAAAGGTATATCACATCTTTCCAGAAGTGAGGAGTTAATCAGATCTCTCAACTGGTAGAAACACTTTCATTTGGATGAGAATCTTCATTTCATTAAGTGACATTGTGTTACTTGGGTTTTTTCTAAATCAAAACAAATAGCTAACACAAGTTTTAGAAAAAATTGCTACATTACTTTGCTTCAAAACAGAGTTCAATTATATATGATAATGTGTAGTGATAATTTGACACTGATATGAAAAGCCTGTGTATTTTCTCATATGCTCTGTTTTGTGCCACTAAGATTATAACAGGATTACATGACAATCTTACTAACTGCCTGCATGTGATGATTCTACAGGATATGCATACTAATAAACCAGTGAAGTTCAGCAGTCATTACCTGAATACTGTAACAGAAGTCAGAGATGGACAGGATGACAGTCAGACTAGTTTTGGTGAGATTTTTTTTCCCCATCTTTACAAAAGACCATAGACATAGTAATTGAGAATACAGAAGTAGTGCTTGGAAGCTTAGACACCGAGGCAGGCAAGGTACTACACTGGTACATTCTGTGCTTACTTACATTGATCTTTTGTGTCTCACAACATGTCTGAGATTTAAGCAATGTACAGACTCTCTCAAAAACTCATGGGAATGCTTCATCCCTAGAGAGCAGCTGAGGAGACCAGTAAACTAGCAGTGTTTCTGTTATAGTGATAAACTTTAGATGTTTCACATACTCTTTTACAATAGGAGCCATAAATGTCAATATTATCTCCTTCTGAGCTGTGCCAGGGATTTCAGCATTGGTGTATGTGCCAAAACAAGAAATGATGAAATACATTCATTCCAGACCTGGTTTTCAGAGATGCTTAACTTGTATCTCCCATTAGTGTCAGCAACAGCTTAGCATTTTAGGCATCTCATATTGGACTTAGGTTTTCATTAAATGAACTATTTGTAAAGTCAGCATTAGAATTCAGAATTTCCTATAGCATCATTTGACATACTTCAGTTCCTGTATTTCATCCACTTTGTGCTTCCAGTCTGAGACTTGACAAGAGGCAGCCACGGCACTGGGAATTGGGTTTTTTTGGTGTGTCAATAATGTGACTGCAATTCCAGGCACTCAAGTAGCATCAGCTCAAAGGACCCTCACGTTCTGCACAATTTCTTTATCACCCTCCTGCACATTGGTTAGATTATGTCTCTTAAAAGTAGTGGATGTAATTATCTATGCGTGGTCCTCTAGTCTTGTCCTTAAGTATTTGGGGGCCAAACTGCATGGAAAAATTGTAAGGTTTTTGGTCAAAACAATTCATGAATCTGAGTCAAGCCTGTTGAATAGCTGCAGCTAGTTAGAAGAAAACCACACACCCCCTCAACTCCATATTTCATTGAACCTTCATTTCAAAATAGCAAATTTTGAAGACTGCCTGAGTGTAAACCTTTTTGTTAAAATCAGTCTGATGTGCCACAAATATTTCATCACTTTCTCATGTAGAAAACTGATAAATATTGCTTTGATTTAAAAACAAAATGAAGTATTTTTGTGGATAAATTATTTCCAGATCTTTCCCCCAAGTTCTTATTAGGATACCAACTTTGCTTTTAATTAACACTTGTTTTCCTTTCTTGTAGACAAGGATGATCATTATCTTTTCCATTCAAGAGGCAAAATAAAGAGAACAAAGTCAAGAACACTTACAGGAAAAGAAGATAAGCTCTCTGTAGGTATCTTCAACTCCCAGCTTTGTTAAAAAGAATCATAGAATTTAGGGGTTGGAATGGACCTTACAGATCATCAAGTCCCAACCCCCCCTGCCCTGGGCAGGGACACCTCCTCACTAGGTCAGGTTGCTCAAGGCCTCATCCAGCCTGGCTTTGAACATTGCCAGGGTCAGGGAAGCCACCACATCCCTGGGCAACCTGTGCCACTGTCTCACCACCCTTATTGTAAAAAACTTTTTCCTAATTTCTAACCTAAACTTCCCCTCTTCAATTTGAGCCCATTACCCCTTGTCCTACCATTGCAGTTCCTCACAAAGAGTCCCTCTCCAGCTCCCTTGTAGGCCCCTTCAGATACTGAAAAGTTGCTATGAGGCCTCCACTGTTCTAAAAGCTGCTGTTCTATTCAATTCCTTCCCTCATCCATTTCAATTTAATATGATAAACCTCACTAAAGCCTGCCAGGCTTCTGGTGTATTCTGTATCCTCATTCATTTTCCTTAGTTTTATTTCCTAGACCACTTCTCCATGTACCAAGACAGTTTCCTTAGGTAAGAAGTACATTGCTCATTGCTCCCATGCGGGCACAACACCACAGCTCCCCATGAGGCAGTTCTGCTTGGATCAGAGGGAGAGAAGTACATCCAAGTCCTGTTATGCTATGTGCTCTAGCTGGGCTACACCACAGCCTGCACAGAGCTGGTTGGCACTGCTGAAGGGCCAGTGCCTGCCTGAGGCTTAGCAGTCCTATCACACAGCTGTGTCGCTGTAGGAAGAGGCATCCAAGAATTCCTAAGTTACACTGCATTTACCTGCAAGCCACTTGACTAAGTCTGGTAACTTGCAAAGAATTTACGTAGCTTAAAGCAATCTGTTCTTTATTCACAGCTGAAATTCAAGAACACGAAAGAGGAATGCAGAGGGGAAACCAGCATATGATTTGGCTGTTAGAACTGCAGATAATTAAGGTTTTTAGTTGATCCAAGTAAGTCTGGACAGAGAGCAGTGGACAGACTTATGAAAACCAGGAATATTGGTCTCATCAGTGTGTTATTTCAACTACCCTTTTTCCCCAAAATAAAGCTGGAAGTTCTTTGACTTTGGGAGCACCTAATTGCATGTCCAGTTCTGTCTACAGAATTCACAACCCACTACAATTAGCTTGGGCCCTGTAGCTGTCAAACACTTTGTCCAAGATAACCCCATCCCTCTGCAGCATCTCACAGCACAGTTCTTCACTGACTGTACTCTGCTCTACAAAATTCCTTTCCTTTCCAAACCTGTGCAAGGGAAAGGAACAAAACAAACCTTTCCGGGCACAAATAGATTTGAATGTCTTTGAAATATCTTTAAAGCTGCTTGAGAGTTTGACACTTGAGCAACAGCACTGCAAGCTGTACTTTGATGAGTTTATTTTCTGTTTTGAAGCTAAAACTGCATTCAGTGCAGCCCATTGCATTAAAGGGCAGATTCTCATCCCCCAGAAAATCGAGTACAATTTCTTTGCTGTTCTGCCTTCAACTTTTATTTATAAGTGCATCAACACAAGGCAGCAGCCAACTGCAAATAGAAGCTTACAAGGATACCAGGCACACTGAGATTTGATACAATTCAACGTTATTAGTCATAATCCTAAATCCCTGAAGGATTTTTAAAACTCCTTCCCCAGTTTATATCCCAGAGTATCCAAAAACGTTGGTATATTCAGTATAAAAATGGAAATGCGTGTCAACTCTTGCCATAAAATGCAAGTTTTAGCACCAGAGGTACCAGTATCTCTACAACACAATATCTCTAAACAGCTGGATTTAAAAAAAAACCTCAAACAATAAAAGAACAAGCAGACCCACAAGTAGTAATCTTTAATTAAACTAAGAGAACGATTAGGAGAATCCCTGTGGAAAAAGATTACGTATGCAAGGCATCAAACTCCAGATACTTCCCAGACAGACTGAGGTGATCAATGTAGAATTCATTCTGCTGCTCATGGAGACAGCCAGTCTGGAAACAGCCTTGGGAAATGCAGCCATTCAGGCACAGCACATGTACAAGACAGGTGTCACTGGCAAGTGTGAGGCTGCAGCAGTCTAGGAGGCCAAATTCTTTATTTTACAACGTGCTTTCTTGGCTGCATCTTCAAGCTCAGTCATCTTCTGAGAAATACCTCTTTTCTGCAAAGAGCAAAAATAATTCATTACTGTCTATCACCAATTGAACATTGTTCAGCTTCAAGGGAGAAGCAGTTTACATCTTGCCTAAAGCAGCAGCTGAGGACCAGGAAAGGACAGACCTGACCCAGCATGAGTCTGGCAGCAGCAAGGCACTTTGGTAAGGCACAGTGAGGCCAGCTAAACAACCCCAAGAGTACAGACTAAATAACTCTTCCAGCACCGCTGTGGATGGAGACACATCACAGTACCGACGTGTACGTACAATTGACTTTTTTATCCGCATTTTGTCCAGCTTCAGGAACTCCTGCAGTGTCAGGCTATCAGGGTCTTTCTGAAGGGAAAGAAAAGCACATTCCGCAGAATGCTTTCTGTGTTCCTCCCTGAGAAAAGGAGAAAACAAAGGAGAAACCAGTAGCTCACAACAAGACAGACGCGGCC